TGATAGAAAATTTTATAGGGGAAGTGTTAATCTATTTTAAGTCAATATAAAAGAAAGCCTTCAATTATTATTAACTAATGAAACTGGAGGAAAAAAAATAACAAAACACAAAATCAGAACAAGCACCACTACTGAGTAGTGTAGTAAGATTTTCCCAATTGCATATAAAATGAATAATACATGTGAATCCTTAATTTTTAATTTAGATATATTTAGACATATTACATATCACCATGAGTTACATATATCCACCCATAGAGAGAGAGTACAAACAGGTGCACATGACAGAGAGTAGATGGAAATTTATGAATATACTACTCTTTATATAGATGTTCATTATTCCAACATGCATACATAAAAATCTTTGATCTCTGAATGTTCAACTGTGGTCTTCAAGGAGGAAACAAGAATGGGAAGCAGTTTATAAAAAGCTTGTGCTAGAATTCTGAACTGAGCTTGGTTGAAAAACGATACTGTATACATCGCTCAGAATCAAGGTCAAAAGTGAATTAGGAATCCAGGCCCTGAGTAATGAGGGCTTAGCACTTAGCAGAAATGACATGCCCAGTTTCCAGCTCAGAAGTGCCAGCTGACCTGCCAACCTAGCATTCCAGATCTGAAAGGGGGAAATCTGCTCTCCTAGCTACAGACAAGATGTGTACTACTAATTATTGCTCGTAGAGGCTTATGGTGAAATACAGTAGGATAGTTGTCTGGAAGCCAATTCTCAGCCTAGAATTCAGGCAGCCCAGGCAATGTAAATCTGTCTCACAACAGTAATATAAGCAAAATTCTGAAAGAAAGGTCTTTTACTGAAGGGGGATAGAAAGGGAAAGAAGCAGCCTGACCATACTATCTAACATAAACTCTTCATTTGAGCTGTAAAGAGATTTAATACTTGATTGTACTGGAGGATACCTCCAAAGAAAAAAAGCCAGTAAAACAATCCTTCTGCTCATAGAAAAGCTAAGATGATGAATATATTGAAGTTATCCAAGAGGCCCTAGAGTCTAGTGTTGTTGATTAAATTAGACACCTGTTCATTTCTGACCTCCTCTGTCTTATGAGAACACATGTCAGCAAAGTCTTTACGTACTCAAATTAAATATTTGTAGCATTCTTTTTTTTTTCCCCCAGTTACAATTTTCTCATCAATTTTCTCATTTCCAAATCATTACAAATTAAGACACA